CGAAGATATGGTTCTTCAGTGACTCATTGATTATAAACCCGAATGTTCAAACGAACAGATAGTAAGTATCATTAAAGTTTATCCTTAAGATAAGACTTATAGATCAAAATATAATATATGGATTACATGCAATGGTTTTTTTAACAGGGAAACAGTGTGATGTAGCTTAAGAATAAATAAATCACGCTAAAAGCTGATTTTTGCGTTATTCTGCAACATGTCAAGGCGATATATGAAGAACCAACAAGGCTTATGTCCTAATAAAAGTCACTTATTTATATATTAGCTCGTATGACTTACAATTAGCCACAGTAGCGTAAATACACCAACCCTTTGTTTGGAAATACTTATACTTTGCATTTCTCAAATTCATTCCTTCTTATCGAATAACATTGTCTATGTCTAATGTTCACGGCTAATTTTGTTACTCCATGTTGACAATTTATTTCCGTATGCTGATGTACTATGATAACTTAAGCCGGTAAAAATATGCATACCACGTCCTTCGTTGCATAAAATTAACTGACTAAAAGTGAAAGATGGTTAGATGTGATCGAATAATCATATAAGATTATTCCATAAGATCATTAACTGTTGGATTAAGCTATATAATTAAACTGAAAACTACCAGGCTTCAGTTAGAACAACAATCATAGTTAACGATCGAAGAACTTGGATAAAATCGCACGAAATTAATTGAAATGGCGTATAGCTAGCTACATTGAATTAACTATCAAGAAGTAATCAACATGAATCATATGAATCTTTTTTTTTTTTGAAATACCATCTCTCACGAGTATGGATGTTAAACACTTACTTCTTCTTTTGATAAATGTGATAATCCTTGTCGTTCTAATTTTCGTTTCCAAACAAATGATTCTGAAAGACGATGATCACCAAATGGATTGTCTTCATTTGTATAACCTAAATATTCTTTATCCCATCCCATTCGTTCACGTCTCCAACGTTCTTTAGCTTCTTTTTTAGCTAAACGTCTAGCTCGTTTTTCTTCAGATGTTTCTAAGATTTTTATTAAAGCCTATAAATAGTTGAAGAAAAAATAATTATTATTATTATTAGGAAGATAGTATTTTTTCGAATGTAACTGGTGTCCCTACAAACCGTTCACACCACTAGTTAGAGTGATTGAGCAAAATAAGTTGAATTTCATTTCAAAAATATGCCTAACTTTTTAAATCATTCACAGGTCTATGTACCAAGCCATGAGTTTGATTTATTAGAAAAGGAAAAATTATGTTGTTTTTAACTCAAACAAAGTAGATTGTTACAAAATTTGAGTTTGCTGAATCATCGTCTTCAGTTTTTCTTTATTTTACATATTTACCAAGTACAGACTTGTGTGCTTGGCTCCAAGCCCCATTCTAATTGTGAGAGCTAGCAATAAGTACTCAGTTACCCAAACAGAAGTGCTCAGAATGGAGTTTGAACATGCGAAATAGTGTTCTGAATTCTAGTACTCAATTCAATTTTACTGTCAATGTAGGTTCTCATAACCTAGTGTCCATAAATAAGTAATAACAGCGAAAATATATGTTTAATATGAAACATGACTGAAATGGTCATCATCATCATCAACAGTAACGTAGAACTTTGCACGTAAGTACAGAAGTTCAAGTCGCCATACCACATTAGCACAGAGATATAAATGTCAATTCAAATCACATGGTAATACAGGCAGTAAAGGTATTAGAAGTAATCGGAGAGATTAGGGTTCGAAGATGTTATTCAAGAAGTATAATTCAGTGAGGTAAATTTAGAAATAGAAAGCTAGAGGCGATAAGGAATTCAGGAGGTTAGAAATTCAAAGAACACAAAGAATAAATGCACCTGCGCCATTGCAAACGGTTTTGAGTCATGTCGTTCAAGGTCTCTAACCATCGGTGACTATCATCTTACGGACCCCAACCAGGTAGTCGACACCTGCCGACATGACTCACTCCAATTGTCAGTGACTTCATGGATTTCTGCCATGTTTTGTTCTGGCCGACCCTGGCTTTTTCCCAACCTATTCCTACACTACAAAACATAACTCGACAAGGCAGTCGGTGGTTAGGCATACTCAACACATGTCCCAACCCCCTCAACTGATGAAGTTTCAATGCTTCATCTATTGATCTGCCATCCTTACCTAGCACTCGGTTCCTAATAACAGCATTGCTTACTCGACTGTCCCACGATACTCGAGCAATGCTATGTAGACACCTATGATCGAAAACCAGTAACCTACGAATATCTTCTGTTCTGACTGGCCATGTTACACAGCCATAAAGTAGGACGGAGCGAACTGCTGCGCAGTATACTCGTCCTTTAGTCAGCAAACGGATATCTCGCTTTCGTCATAAGTGACGCAGGTTGGCAAAAGCCAATCGAGATTTCTGTATCCGTGTTGAAACGGTCAAACTAAAATGCTAATATATACAATTAAGTCAATAATGATCAGGGTTTCAAACAGGAACGAACTAAATATACTGTAAAATAATGGAGCTGTTACAAAACAAAAGCTTAGGATAAGATCAAAGAATATGTCGTGCACTTAGTAGTCCTTATTAATCATTTGACCCTTGTTCTTATAAAGACTAGCCAATTTGGATTTTCTTCCATTTAGACGGGTAGTGTTTACAGTTTGAACAGTTGACTGATGTTATTTTTACTAATTAGTTAAGTAGCATAATTCCTTTGTTCTTTAACAATACTTCAACACAACGATGAATTAGAAACTACCATATCACAATTTGTAACTTAATTAGTAATGTATGCAAACACGAAAAATCAATAGTTCAGTGGAAATGTGTAGTTTAACCAAAGCACAAACAAAGAACGCAGCAGTTAGTCAGAACCGACTACCTCGACGAGTAATGCTGTTCAACTTAGTAGAATAATGAAAGAAAGCCAGACAAACAGAAACATGGCACAAGTCCATGAAGTTATTGACAATTGAACTAAGCCATGTTAGTAGATGTAGGCTACCTAGTTGGGATCCGTTTGACAGTCGTAACCGGTGATTAGAAGCTTTGAACGACATGGCTCAAAATCGTTCACAATAGCGTAGGTGCATCCATTCTTTGTCTTCCCTCAAATATTAAGATTCTGGATTTTTCATGACATGTTTTTAGAAGTATCACTTCCGTCGTCTGACTACTCAAGAGTTGACCTACTAGGAGATTCACTTGTTGACTTGCAATATGCAAATGACATAGTTCCATTTGGTGAAGATGCTGACAGAATGATGTCTTCTGAACATATTGAGGATGCGACTGCTCCCCTTTCAATGCAAAACAACATGAATTCACTTTAATTTGTTGCTTATCGTCAGCTGCATAGAAATTCATGTTATAATATCGGAAAATATCTCATGAATGAAGATCAAGGAAAACAGTAATAAGTAAAAAAGAACTACTGCTCGAACACCACTGGTCGAGTGAGAGCTTATGGCGAACTGTCATCGGAATTCTCTACTTCAAGTGGTGTCCGTCAGGGATGTCCACTTTCTCCATTCTTGTTTAATTTTATCATAGACATGCTCCTAGAAATAACCTTATCCTCGTCTGAATTTTCTGGAGTAGACCTTCTACCAGGTGGCTCGCTTATTGACTTAGAATATGCCGATGACATAGTCCTACTTGGTGAAGACGCTGAAAAAGTGTAGAGTCTTCTGACCACCCTAAGCAACAATGCAAGCATGTTCGGGATGCGGTTTTCCCCCTGGGACACCCGAGTGAGCAACGCTGTTATTAGGACACGGGTGCTAGGTAAGAATGGCAGATCAATAGACGCACTAGTGACACTTCATCAGTTGAGGTGGTTGGGACGTGTTGCGTATGCCTAACCACCGACTGCCTCGTCGAGCTTTGTTTTGTAGTGTAGGAATAGGTTGGAAGAAAGTTAGGGGCGGCCAGACCAAAACATGGCAGAAATCCATGAGATGCTAACAATCGATGGTTAGAGACTTTGAATGACATGGCTCAAAATCGTTCGCAATGGCGCCGGTGCATTTATTCTTTATGTTATCTCAAATCCTAATCTTCTGTATTCTTCAACAACTCTAGTTTTGACTTTCTAAACTTTTCTCACTGAATCATACTTCTTGAATAATATCTTCTAATCCTAACCTATCAGATTACTTCTAATACTCTTACTACCTCTACTACTATTGGATTTGAATTGACAATTACATCTCTGTGCTGATGTGGTATGACAACATGAACTGATATACCTACGTACGAAGTTCTACGTTGCATCTGACTGACTGACTGACTGCTCATCTCATCAATCTTCATCGGTAACAGCTTTTTTGATATTAAGACATAAAGTTGTAAGTAACTGAAAAGAAACCACAAAACAAAATGAATTCATGCATTCTGCTGCGTTCATTTTTATTGCTTTATTCAAATTTACTGATAGGAAAATTTCTATGAAAACATATAATAACTGCTTACCTTCTTTTGTCGCCTCTCTTCACTAATCTTTTGTATTTCTTCTAATGAAAGAGACAACAATTCCTTGGGAACTGCAGTGGATGATGTATGTTTTTTCTTGGTTTCATTGTCAGAATGATTAACAGACGATGATGATGAAGAGGATGAAGAGGAGCTAGAAGATAATCTTTTATGCTTTTTACTTTTCTTTTTTAAAGAATGATGGGATTTCTTGTGTTTTGAATGGGTTGTTGACTTGACAGAATTATGAGATCTACTGTTACTATGTTTGTGAGTAGACGATCGACTGACATATGACATTTTATCACTATTACTATCAATACTAGAACTTCTGCGGTGATTTACATGATTCTTATCGTGTTCGTAATATGAGCTGACTTGTGACTTAATCTTATGACTCATCTCCAACAGACAATTGTGATTTAGCTGAAAACAAAAACACTATAAACGAATGAGATTAACAAGAGAATTAGATGAAAATAAACTGTATGTAATAAATGATTATATTTGACTGAAACTGTACAAGTAATGAATCAAGAATGACTAGTTTTTGTGTCTAAAATAGTAATCGATCGCCGTAGAAAATATTGCGAAACCAGAAGCTCCTACAAGACCGGCTTGTAAACCAGCTAGTAAAATTGAAGTAAATATCATGTATAAACAAATTACCTCGAAAACCTATTCCACCACCAACGATTGCACCTGATAATGTACTATTTAGAAGGTCACTCTTGCCACGGTACTAAAAAACTAGTATTACAAAGCTTTAAAAAAGCTTACACTCTCAACAGTACATTCAGTACCAGCGAAAAGTGTCCCAATCACAGCAAAACTCTTGGCATGTGATAATGAACGAGAATACATTTCCTTCAAAACTTGGCGAGTAGTTGGAGTTTCCGCCCCATGTACTGTGCTCATTGGGTCCACACTAGCTGAAAACAACCCAAAGATACCTCCCAAAACAAAACCTATATATTTATACAGTGATTATTTCAAATTAAATGAACCTCCGAAACAGCTCAATAGAGCTTTAAATGGACAGCTATCCATTACCCGGCGCACCATTAGTTCTTCATTTGGGGGCAAAGGAAAAGTTAGTAATTTCATGCGAATCAACTTTTCAGGATCCGAATAGATGTGATTACTAATCGTTCTTTTTAAAGATGATGGATCGTCACCGTGTAAGGCAGAACTTAGTTCCTTTGAAAATTTTATGTAACGACTTCGATCTGCATCTGAAAGGTTTATGTAGTCTCTGTAACGCTCAGAGAGAAGTTCTCGTATCGACTTTCCTTCGATGTGTTGAATTTCCGACATCCTAAGAAGGAAATACAAGAGATCTACATATGTTGATCATCATTCCGCTAACTGATAAGCTTACTCAGATTGATTTAAAAACCGAAAACTCAATAAAACATTTAGTTGCCTTTCTTACAAGTGCATTCATTCTTTGCGCTCTCTAAAATCTTAACCTTCGGAATCCCTCACCACCTTTATCTTTTTATTTTAGGTTTATTTCACTAGATTCTACTTCTTGAATAATATCTTCGAACCCTAATCTCTTCAATTACTACTGAATACTTTTACTACCTCTGCTGCTAAGGGATTTGAATTGACAATTGCATTTCTGTGCTAATGTGGTATGGCAACTTGAACTGATGTACGTACATACGAAGTTCTACGTTGCTGTTGATTGATTGACTGATAGTTTTTTTCTTGAGGCATATTTAAAAGGAATCTAATTTGTAAAAGATGACTGAAGATCATAGGAAGAGCTTGCGTTTTGGAAGGAGTGCGGAAGTTGGTGTAAGCTGGCCGCTGAAAACTAAATTTTAAGTTGATTTTTATCTTAATACTTCACTAAACACTATAATCGACTGTTGATAGTTGGGTAAATAACATGATTGTTAAAGCGTTGTACAACCGTATGGCTAATTATGATTTGTTTAAAATGTTATATTTCTGGATGAAAGATCCGTATTATATTTTCTCACTGTTTTAGCAATGTACTTTTTAGTGAATTATTTCATAGTCTGTAAGCCAGGTTATAGAAACTGGTTTTAACTGTTTCACTCGGATTTACATTTGACTTGTCCCTAGTGGAATTAGTGTAATTTGAGAGACCAAACTTCAAATACTTAAAATAGGAACGTATGAAGCTTCAAGCCTATTAATGAACTAACAACATAATTTAGATATTATTGAAGCTGTTATTGATAACCGATTCAAAACAGTACTGTTATTGGTATATCGGGTGCATGCACTCTCTGTGTTCTATCAAATTCTAACCTGAATTCCTCATCATCTCTATCATTCGCTTTCTAAATATATCTCACTGAATTATACTTCTCGAATCATATCTTCGAACCCAAACCTTCCCCATTACTGCTAATACTTCTACTATCGCTACCACTATTGGATTTGAACTGACAGTTGCGTCTCGGTGCTAATAAGATGTGGTAACCTGAACTGATGTACGTACGTACGAAGTTCTCCGTTGTAACTGACTGACTGTTATTGGTATAACGTTCGCTAATTTAACATGTATTTATCTGATAAATAAATTTCAATGTAATCAATAGGAGAAGATAGGTCCCTGCAGACAATCTTCCGTTTATTATCTAGTCACTTGGACTTATTCTCAATTCACGTGGTTAGTGACAAGTAGTGATTTGTCCACAATCTCTATCTGTATCATGATTAATTGCAATTAGATTATACTAAGAGTGAATGCAGATGGCACTATTTCCGAAAAAGCAGTCTTCCAACAAGCCCGTTTGGCAAAAGAGCTATCTCATCTACCTACGGTCCAATTCATAAACTCGGGTCTTGATTCAGCTTTAAAGCCTCTGAAGTATTACTGGTCTTTACGCAAAACGCAACTTCGAGACGAGCACATAAGCTTTTGATTACTGTGCTGCAAAAGTTTAGGATGTCCGGCAAGTTTATTGCCCTATCTAAGAGCGAAAATGAGTAAATTTACTAACTTGCAATGTTTGTCAGGATTTTTGCTTCATTACGCTAGATTTCTTGGCACAGAGGCACCTCTATTTAGTACTATAGAGTCCACAAAGTAACTGGAATCTTTTTGTACATCATTTAATACACTTCTGACAAGCTTCTTGTGTCATTCTGCATCGTTATCTCGTCAGACCCATTATACGGTAGAACTAGATACGAGGACATTAGTGCCAGCTTCAGTGAAATTCAGTCAAAAACCAAAAAAAATTCAATGTATTTTGAAAAGCTCAGCAATAGCTATATGAACATGTTGGAAGGGAAAGCAGAGATAAATGTCTTAGTGCTGATAGTCCTTGTATGAAACCATAGTTTAAGCTATCTGTCAGACAAATATAGCAGAAATTAGGGCTCACTTAGCACTACGATAGAAAAAAACACGTCGTCAAAAATTGAACTTCAGATACAGTTCCCTCTATTTATCATCATCTTAGTTCAAAGCAAAATATACTTTACAACCTTAAGGGTGCAGTTATTTTTGTTTCATAAGATATCCAAGCCACTCGAGTAGTGAATATATATTAATTAACCTTTAGTACATTATTGGAAGTTCATAATATCAAACTATTGAAATGTATTGTTACCAAGTATGCGGCGATTACTTAAGTTACGCTGACTACAAAAACTGCGCTCATCGAGTGATTGTCCAATATCCAATATCTTTTTCACCAGAAAATTTAAGCATTTGATTTCTTTGCGCTCGATTCTCGTTTTTTCGGTTCGTTTCCAGATGTGTGGTAGTACCAAATAGATGGACGTCAAGCCACTCGTCTGTCTAATTCTAGTTAGTTGGCAGTTGGCTGTAGTTTTGTATGTCCCGTGATTTGAATGAATGCGTTTGTTTCAGGGCAGTAGGGTTTCTGGATACCAGCAGCTATCACATCACCAGCTGCAGTGTGGAGAATGATGAGGAGAAAAGCCTAATTCTAATAAGGAGATTTCAGAACTAAGTAAATAAATGGACAATTTAGTTTATTAATTGGTAGTGAAGATTGTGCGAGCGGATCAAAGTGTATGCAAAGGAAAGAAAACAGAGGTAATAAGCAAAACAGACTGTTAATGATCTGAACAGATAGCAAAAATGACAGTTATCAAGACTCAGGACATGCATCAGGCACAGCTTGTTCAAGAGGGAGATGAAAATCCGTATGTGAGTACGTGATTTTCAAGTCTCTTCTTAAAGCTGTCCACTAAAAGGGCTGTGGTAACCTCGGCTGACATAGCATTCGACGTTTAGACTACTTTTAATGGGAAAAATTGTGCACGAACTTGAGTATTTGTTCTTCGATGCGCAATTTTCAGAGGATTGCCTCGAGGAGAGTAGTGGTGATACATCGGTAAGATGCTCACGTTGGGATGGATTGGCGTGCCTAATACCTTTTACACCATAATCAGGTCTCCTCTGATTCTCCTGTAACTCAGGGGACGAATCGCAAGTTTTATTTTTCAACCCTATCACCCATTTCTTTGCTCGTTTCTGCACTCAATCCAAGAGATTTATGTCTCTTTTAAGCAGCGGGGGTGCGATGACATTGTGAACCTCAAGGTGTGGGCATGCTTATGTATTAAACAGCGTTAGGAATGATTCAAGTGTGACCTCACCTAGTTGTCTTCGTATGGAGTGAAGTGTTGCATCTGTCCTGGCACAGAACTATTTAGTGAACAACTTTGTGATTTTTCACGTTCTGCGTAATTCCACTTCATTTGTACAGCCACTGTTATTGGCATATTTGGGTCACCAATGAATTGTGGCGAACCAACTATTTATCATTATCGAAACTGTCATAGAGTTATTTCAGAAAAAATATAGAACGATGAATGACATCCCATAGTTTCCATAAATTAACGTCCCTTAAACAGGGTATGAGGTTTTATAGTGGTTTCTGAATTCAGAAGAACAGTTTTGGACGTTTAGATAAGCTCCTTGCCCGGATATCCCAAAAAGAAAGCAATTTATCTGGGTAAGAACGGTTCTATTATTGATTAGATAATACAGATTATTACCCAAACACTATTACACTGTTCTCTTTCAAGTTTAACACAATGTGTTTCCGATTCCGGAAGAATGCTTCCGTATAGGTCCAAAATTGCACCCTTCCAGTTCAGATTCACATTTACCCGCCTGGGTATCAATTCCGATATGGTTGTAGCCATAATTAAGTGTCAATTTAAACTAAATAATACAGTTCAGGAGAAAACACAGAAACTCCAATAAAAAAACAAAAATTAGAAACTATAACAAACTACAAATATTAGCATCCGAAATGGGATTAAACACACAAACGAAATGTAACACAGAAAGAGTCAGCAAGAACATATTAAAAATATATATGTAGTTGAACGCTCCTACGAAGAAAATACGATTTGTGAAAAATGAACATTATTGTACTCGTTTTGTTTAACTGTACCAAAAACACTTCTTCTACTTCTTGCGCGCAACGTTCTCTTCGCGTTGCTACCATTTTTCTAAATACGCTGCTCCCCATGTAATGCCTACTGTCTCCTTCAATAAATCCTTGGAATATGGATTTGTTTTGATTTCAATGATGGCGGGATATTATGGAACATTTAGTCAATCTGGTATCTTGACTCGCTCACTACAATTGGTGAGCCGACGTATCTTCTGCTGAAGTCAATCGCGGTGAGTCTATTATTCATCTATCACCATTTTAATAACGTTGAAATATTATTACTAATGTCTTAATATATATTATACTTGCAATAACCTTTCGGAATGGTAGGTAGCTATAATAATAGACTCCGAGGTGCAGGTCATTTCATTTTCACCTGTCTCCTCCCCGTCACTGCAGGTTGTTAGTTTGTTTTACGTCCTCGATTTTTTCACTAACGTTAGGTACTTGGTGGCAACAAGTGCCCAAGTTTATGTCGTATCGTTTGGTAGCAGTAAGTCATAAGCTACGATGCTTCGACCACGCTCTGCGAATGGCTCTGTCATTCCTTCCTACGGTGCACAACAGCTAACTATCAACCTGAATAATCGACGACAGTATCTATGGACGTTCATCCCTTCTGATATCCCCATAGCCGTACTCGGTATCGATTCCTTACAGCACTCTGAATTGCTATTCGATTCACGTAGGCTGCGTTAATCGATACTTCGTCCAATATCAAATCCATGGTTTTTAACGCGCATACAGATATGTACCGAATTGTTTTCGCGTTACTATTTATTTCATGCTATATTTGATAAATTCCCCAAAGTAACGAAACCGAGGAGATTCAACTGGTGATTATTTATGTGGTAAGCCACATCGTCACCTGCAGACCCCCAGTCACGGCAAAACCTCGCCGACTGGCACTGGACAACTTAGTTTTCGCTAGGCCTTAGTTTGACAGTTTACTTGATATATGTATTACTTCGTCTTTCCCACAATCCTTAAGACTCCCCTCTCCACTCGGTTCGCAGAAAGATGGCATTGGTTGGAGACGACATGGCGATTACGTAGCAGCAACGGCTGTTACGGGAGAAACGAAGACATTTTGCTGATCAAACCTTTATATATATAATCATTAATTTCACTGTTTTTTGGGTATATTTGTTTTACTTAACTTATGAACTTGTTTGAATTAATTTTTGCGGACATTTTGGACTCCCGTTTCTCTTTGTTGTTCGTTTGCAGTTTTTTGCTCCAAGAGCTAATAAATTAGAAGGTAATTGTAATTATTATAATTATTGTTGTTAGAACGACATTGGTCGTCTATTTGTAATACAGCATTTTGGTCGAATTTGTGATTTGGAATAAACTTTGTTATCTACTTTGGAGTTTCGTTCTTGGTTTAAAATTTGGGACCGTGAATTACAAATAGTTCGACAACCGTGCTTCGTAGAATCAACGGGCAAAAAACTGGACGTAACAAAAGTTCTTCTAATTTAATTTGTCATAAACTGGATTCTTTTGGTCGTTTGGCTCCAGAGGTTCTTCAATTCAAATTTGGTCGTTGAAAACTTTTGGAAATTTGGGTCCAAAAGTTCTTCTTACTTTTAATTTGGTCGTTGGATACTTTGGACTATTCAATTTGGTTCTTTGGTTATATTTTGGATACTTTTGGACATTTTGCTATTATTGGCGAATACGTTTGGAATAATTCCATATTTGCTTGGTAATCGATTTCGAATAAAAACATACAATGGAAACTAGAAGCAAAAAGCTGAAGGAGCAGGACGAAATGGATGGTAAATTTTCTAAAGCTGTTTGTGGTATGTCTGATGTTAATGATGATAAACTTGATGATATTAGTGTTAGTAGTAAGTCTTCCTCTCAGTTTAGTACTTCTAGATTGAAGTTAGATAAGGCATTAATTAAGAAGAAGAATTTGGAAAAGAGACTTGAGTTAGAAAAGCAGCTCAAAATGTTAGAGCTTCAAGAGGAAGTTGATATGGCTGAATTAGAATGTAAGCTCATAGAAAACGATAACCAACTGTCAGTAGACAAAGCTGAGATAAATTCTAAGGTCGAAAGGTATTTGGATTGTGATATTGCGCGTAATAAGATAATTAACGCCTCAAAATGCGATTGTATTGATGAATTAAAGGACACGTTACGTGCTACGGTTAATAATACAGTTTTGCCTAAAATCGATATGATGTTTTTTGACGGACAACCAAGCCAGTACCACCGTTTTATTAGGCAGTTTACAAGCATTATAGAGAGTAAACTATCTGACAAGGGCCAGTTGTTGTCATATTTGTCATACTATTGTAAAGGAAAGGCCAGAATGGCTATTGAAGCTTGTATTTCGTTGCCCAGTCACTTGGGTTACGATAGGGCTAAGGAAATCTTGTATGATTTGTTTGGTAAAGAACATCTTGTCGCTCGTAATCTTATTACCGAATTACTTAGCCACAAATCTGTTGAAGGATCCGCCGATGGCCTAATTGACTTCGCAATTAAGTTACGTAATGTATGTATAACATTGAAGGAAATGGGGTATATGTCTGATGTGAATTCCACGGCTAATTTGGAAATAATTGTGTCACGTTTACCCTTGGAATTACAGAATAAATGGGTGGAAGCTGCTGATAGGATTATGATGACCGGTAGAGAGCCGATATTTGAAGAATTAGTGATGTTTGTAGAAGAAAGAGCCAGGATTGCGCGATCACGTTTTGGTAGACTGGTACATTGTAACTCAAAGTTCCGTAAAGGTAATTATGAAGGCCAAGTTGACAGGAGATCACGCTTTAATGTAGTTAAGAAGGAACCAAGCAACTCATTCAAGGCTTTAAGTTGCGAAATTTGTTTTGGTGATCACAAGGAGAAAGACTGTATGAAGTTATCAAAAATGAATGTTACAGAGAGGAGGCAGGAAGTGAGAAAGCGTGGTCTATGTTACTTGTGTTTAAGGAAGGGTCACATAGCCAAGTCGTGTAACTCGGACACAAGGTGTGACGTTGATAATTGTAAGATTCGGCATAATCCATTATTACATATTGATGCTTCTAACAAACATGTAGTGAATTTTGCTAAGGATTGGAAATTCCCAAAGGTTTGTTTGGGTATCGTTCCGGTTAGACTATATGGCCCCAAAGGATGTCTGGAAACATACGCTCTTCTGGACAATGGTTCAGATACCTCTATTGTATGCGAAGAGTTAGTTAATCGGTTAGGTCTCAAAGGTAAGGAGACTTCAATAAAGGTGACGACTGTGAATGGAACTTCTACTTGTGAATGTCTGGAAGTGAATTTAGAGGTATTTCCATTAGATGAGCGGGGTTCTATAAAGATCAACAAGGCCTATACGACCAAGAAACTTCCGATCGATTATGCAGAGCCTTTAACCGAACTGCAGCTAAGAAAGTGGAAACATTTAAGGGACATAACTCTACTGAGGCTGCAAAGTAATCTAGTAGGAATATTGATTGGGTGTGATGCTCCAGATGCACATTGGGTCCTTGAACAACGCCTGGGAGACAGGAAGCATCCGTTTGGTGTGCGTACTCATCTCGGTTGGATGATTTTAGGTCCTAAAGAAGCATCGAGGTCTTTACATCAATTTCAGTGGTGTCATTGTTCTACTAATGATATTTTGCGAGATATAGAAAGATTATATAATCATGAATTCGAGGACGCAGATGGGTTTCGTAATGAATATTCTGTCGAAGATAAAAGAGCTCTAGAAATAGTTAGTAGCTCCTTTAGACTGGAAGGTGGCCATTTCCAAGTTGGTCTACCCTGTATGTATGATAAGCCAAGGCTACCGAATAATTTGGAACTAGCTGAACGTAGACTAGAGTGTTTAAGGAAGAGGTTTATGAAGGACAATAGTCTTCTGGAGAAATATCAACTTGTGATGAGTAAACATTTAAGCAAAGGCTACATCATTGAAGCTAGCAAGGAGGAATTCGACCGTGATGCTGTTTGTTGGTATATTCCTCATCATCCTGTTATCAACCCTAAAAGGCCTGGAAAATTAAGAATTGTTTTTGATTGTGCAGCTGTCTATCAAGGTTGTTCTCTTAACGATCAGCTTTTGAGAGGACCTAATACTGTAAACAGTTTAATTGGTATACTTCTACGATTCAGATTATGCAACGTAGCATTAGCCGCTGACATCGAGGAGATGTTCCTTCAAGTAAAGATTCCGAAACGAGACAGGGGAGCGTTTCGACTATTATGGTGGGAAGACGGTGATATAGGACGAAAGGCTAAAGAATATTGTTTGACAGTTCATCCGTTTGGAGCCGTGTCCTCTCCCTTTTGCGCTAATTTCGCTCTTCGGAAAACGGTAGATATATTCGGAAAGGAATTAAATAAAGATGTCCAGGAAGTTGTAGATAAGAGTTTTTATGTCGACGACTATTTAACATCAATTGATAATGTGCAGGATGCAATCGAACTTGCAAAAACTCTTGGTTTACTACTCAGAAAAGGTGGGTTCAGACTTACCAAGTGGATAAGTAATTGTTTACAGGTTCTCGAATCTATTCATCCAGAAGAGAGAGCAGAAGCCGTAAAAGAGATTGACTTTGAGAGACTTCCTACGGAACGCACATTGGGATTATTTTGGAATACTATGGTTGATGCGTTTGAATTTAAAGTTCGCATACCGAAATGCGCTCTCACTAGGCGAGGTATATTGTCGAGTGTAGCTTCATTATACGACCCCTTGGGATTGTTAGCACCATTCACACT